GCAGTGCAGGGTGCAAAACCATGCCTTTCCTACATTTTCTCTTTGAAGTCTACTTCTTGGAGACTTACCATCGTTGTAGGATGCTTGCAGTTTGTTCCTCAGTGAATAAAGATTTTCAGATCAAAGCAAGTCTTTTTCTTCCTTTGTCTCTTTATCTTCCTTCCTTCTTCTCAAGTCTTACAGCCCGTAATTTGGCAACTCCATACAGGAGGCCCCTAGCCACAGTCCCGTGAGACTGAAGGCAAGAAGAGAAAGGACCAGATGGCATCAGAAGATACGCTTTTCTAGGTCATTGGTGGTTAAGCTTGCAATCTGGTTCCCAACAGAGAGACTTTGGAGAAAAGGGAAGGAGAGCAGCACTGCTGTAAGGGAAGGAGGATTTTGCTGTACAGTTCTTGTTCTGTGGATTTGCTGTTGAGAAGACATACGGAGGAAAAGGTGTTTCTGATTTAATGGTTTCGGGTTTTCACTTGCAGGGACTCTGTTGCTCTTGGATGGGTGCATTCCTCTAAGTAGCTCATCCCCAGGGAGGTAGGACTCAGTAGTGTGGACTCAGTAGTGTGGACTCGGTAGAGAAGTGGACTCAGTAGTGTGGACTTGGTAGTGGAGTGGACTCAGTAGTGTGGACTCGGTAGTGGAGTGGACTCAGTAGTGTGGACTCGGTAGTGGAGTGGACTCAGTAGTGTGGACTCAGTAGTGTGGACTCAGTAGTGTGGACTCAGTAGTGTGGACTCAGTAGTGTGGACTCAGTAGTGTGGACTCGGTAGTGGAGTGGACTCAGTAGTGTGGACTCAGTAGTGGAGTGGACTCAGTAGTGTGGACTCAGTAGTGGAGTGGACTCAGTAGTGTGGACTCAGTAGTGTGGACTCAGTAGTGTGGACTCAGTAGTGTGGACTCGGTAGTGTGGACTTGGTAGTGGAGTGGACTCAGTAGTGTGGACTCAGTAGTGTGGACTCAGTAGTGTGGACTCAGTAGTGTGGACTCGGTAGTGGAGTGGACTCAGTAGTGTGGACTCAGTAGTGGAGTGGACTCAGTAGTGTGGACTCAGTAGTGGAGTGGACTCAGTAGTGTGGACTCAGTAGTGTGGACTCAGTAGTGGAGTGGACTCAGTAGTGTGGACTCAGTAGTGTGGACTTGGTAGTGGAGTGGACTCAGTAGTGTGGACTCAGTAGTGTGGACTCAGTAGTGGAGTGGACTCAGTAGTGTGGACTCGGTAGTGGAGTGGACTCAGTAGTGTGGACTCAGTAGTGTGGACTCAGTAGTGTGGACTCAGTAGTGTGGACTTGGTAGTGGAGTGGACTCAGTAGTGTGGACTCGGTAGTGGAGTGGACTCAGTAGTGTGGACTCGGTAGTGGAGTGGACTCAGTAGTGTGGACTCAGTAGTGTGGACTCAGTAGTGTGGACTCAGTAGTGTGGACTTGGTAGTGGAGTGGACTCAGTAGTGTGGACTCGGTAGTGGAGTGGACTCAGTAGTGTGGACTTGGTAGTGGAGTGGACTCAGTAGTGTGGACTTGGTAGTGGAGTGGACTCAGTAGTGTGGACTCGGTAGTGGAGTGGACTCAGTAGTGTGGACTCAGTAGTGTGGACTTGGTAGTGGAGTGGACTCAGTAGTGTGGACTCAGTAGTGTGGACTCGGTAGTGTGGACTCAGTAGTGTGGACTCAGTAGTGTGGACTCAGTAGTGTGGACTCAGTAGTGGAGTGGACTCAGTAGTGTGGACTCAGTAGTGTGGACTCGGTAGTGGAGTGGACTCAGTAGTGTGGACTCAGTAGTGTGGACTCAGTAGTGTGGACTCAGTAGTGTGGACTCGGTAGTGGAGTGGACTCAGTAGTGTGGACTCAGTAGTGTGGACTTGGTAGTGGAGTGGACTCAGTAGTGTGGACTCAGTAGTGTGGACTCAGTAGTGTGGACTCGGTAGTGGAGTGGACTCAGTAGTGTGGACTCAGTAGTGTGGACTCAGTAGTGTGGACTCAGTAGTGTGGACTCGGTAGTGGAGTGGACTCAGTAGTGTGGACTCAGTAGTGTGGACTCAGTAGTGGAGTGGACTCGGTAGTGGAGTGGACTCAGTAGTGTGGACTCAGTAGTGTGGACTCGGTAGTGTGGACTCGGTAGAGAAGTGGACTCAGTAGTGAGGACTCAGTAGTGGAGTGAACTTGGTAGTGAGGACTCGGTAGTGGAGTGGACTCAGTAGTGTGGCTTCTTTTGGTCAGCTGTTGTTCTTTAGCTGCCAGTGACCCTTTGTTTCTCTACCCTACAAATGCCTGTTTCATTCACAAGTATAAAAGTAAAGACAATGAAAAAAAAAGTGAAGGCAATGGGATTTTGCTTCCACAGGAAGACCCACACGTCACCACTCACTGCGTATCCTCAATGCTAACGTTTATTTTGGAAGACTGATAGGAGGTTCACAGAGTTCACTGCAGCAGGGGGTGGAGGTGGGTAGGAAATGGGTGTCCAACTGGCAGTGAAGACATTGCTTTAAACATCAAGAATACCCCGTTTCTGCTCCCAATTCTACATGCTGCAAATGCATACACCCTGCGAGTCGGTGCATTATGACCTTAGGAACTGGGCTTCCGCTACCCAGGTACAAGAGCTGAACTGTGCTTCCTCATTCCTGGCTGCAGCCTTTCTGGAGGAGTGAACCAGCAGATGAAAGCTACTTTTGTGACACACACGCAGAGGAAATGAAATTAAAGATAGGTTTAGTTTGATGCAGAAAAGGAAATGCGTATGTATTTTTTCATAGTGCATATTTCCATAAACTTTTATTTCAAACACTGTTTATTTGAAAGTGTTAGAGACAGAGCGCTTGCATCCTCTGGTTCATTCCGCAGGGTGGCCACATGGCCAGGCTGAGGCCAAGAGCCAGGCACTTGTTTTGGAAATTCCATGTAGGTGTAGGGGAGCACACATTTGGCCATCTGCTTTCCCGGATGCGTTAGCTTGGAGCTGGATTGCAAGTAGAGCAGCCAGGACTGGAACACACACTCACCGTGCTAGGGCCTCTCTGAACTTTTGAGGACTTCACATATGCATGGATTTCAGCTTCTTTGCACCAAAAGAAATTTGCCTCAGTTCTATTTCCACAAGGCATCACTGGCCTTTGTGTAAGCTGTCTTGGTGATTTATTATTGCTTGACTGAAGAAATGTTTAGCAGTGGCTGAGGGCTTTTGCCTCCCTCCTCACTCAGGCATTAGTATTGGTCTGGGACACCTCACAAGCTCTTGGGGTTACTGCACAGCCCCAGCCTGCTGAGCCCGGACTCCTGCTGCGGCACAGGCTTTCAATTCAGTGCTCTTCCTTGAGTGAAGGAAAATGTTTTTAATTTTAAAGCTGAACCCAATCTGTAAATTTAGGTTTTTATCATTGTTTTAATAACATGGAAAATCCTTGCTTTTTCAAACTTGAATTCAAGTCCCAAGTCAAATGTCAGTCCCCTTACAAGCCTGCTTCCTCCACTTACAACTTCTCCATTTATTCAGATTCTGTTGTCCTTGACATGTCTAACAATCATTCTGGTAATAAACCAAAATAAAACCATGAACATAAAATAGTATGTTTCATTCCTTAGCAGACTATGAACTCATTTCCTTCTCCCTGCTCCCTGTCTGGAACAGTGCTGAGTACCCAAGTCATGTCACTAGTATACTACTGAATTTTTACAAAGGGAAGAAGACATTTCAATTTTACTGTATTTTCAGCCTAGGTTTTGTAAATCTCAGAAAAGGGAAAATTAACTCATCTTTTCTTCCATAATGTGAAACTAATAAGGACTCATGCCCAACTTTCTTAGATGAAAATGTTAAAAGATAATTCCTAAATATATTGGATTTCTGGAGTTAAGTAACTCAAAAAATGTGAGCAGCTCTTCTTTCTAGTAAGATAGTTAACTTTCCTCGTTATTATTTTTTTTAGAAGATTGTCTTTAAAATTAGCAAATGCCATTCAGGGAAATCCCTGATACACTTTAGATTTCAGGAAAATAAGGACATTTCTTTATCCACACCAAGTATGTCACATTTTAGCCTGGCGCCAACTACAGGCTTGAAGTATTGAGCTCAGTGAAGAGATGTGAGATGGAATTATGCTAGTACCTGCAGTGAGAACTGGCTTAGTGGGTGCTCAGTCAGTCTTGGTAATTCATCGACCAGACCTCACTGTTCTTAATCATCCTTGCTTGGAAGTGGCATAATTGACTGTTTGCCATCTTCTGCTTTGAAATTGGCGATATTTGGGAGTTTCACTTGACATATTTTCTTGCATGGTAAGACAGAAAGCATAGTTTGGGTCAGTTTATAAAACCATTTAGTTTGCTTTGAGAAAATGAAAGGTATGTTTTGTTCCTGGTGTAGTTGAGACGGTAAAATTTTAGTTGTAGCTCTTTAGGGAATAAATGTATTCATATTTTATTTTCTTGTCCAAATATACTGTTAACTGCTGAAATATGTTATGCCTGATGAAGCACAGGTCCAAAGATGGGGATAGTAAATCATTGGAAAACTTATAAAGTGCTTATTTTATATATATGTATACACACACACACACATATACACGATTCCAAAAAATAAAAATTGCTTTGCACCAATATTGACATCTTTTAATTCCAATTTTCATGAACTTTTTAAGGACTTTTTTTTTCAAGATTTATTTATTTTTCTTGGGAAGTCAGATTTACAAAGAGGAGAGAGAGAAAAAGATCTTGTATCTGCTGGTTTACTCAGTATTAATGAAGTTGAGACACTTTGTGGGATGGACTAAATAATAAATCATTTCTAACATTACCACTGGGGATGATAATCCATAGTGGACCGGTGTTCCAGAGAATCTTAGGACCAGCAGACTGAAAGGCAGGTGCCCTGTGCTCACTCTGGAACTGAAGCATGAGGATTCTCACATGGCCACAGGCTGAATAACTGCAGAGAACTGTTTGCCTTAAAATAGGTTTTATCATGTTTCCAGTGGAATATCCAACTGTGCTAATTGTTTCTTTGTCTTAGACGAGCTCATCTGCGTCTATGTTTAGAACGCTTGAAAGTTCTGATTCCACTAGGACCAGACTGCACCAGGCATACAACCCTTGGTTTGCTCAACAAAGCCAAAGCACACATCAAGGTGAGAATTTTTACTTAAGGATCTGCACGATTCTCTGGGTCTTGCTTTAATTATTAGGAATGATCAGTTAACTCACATACTTTCCTTAAATAGATGACCTCAAGGGAAATCATTCTAAAACTTACCAGCTAATCTTGATGGGAGCAGCAGTAACCTGATTAAGCCAAATTGTTTTGACAGCGTAGCCATTTGAAGAGCTTGGAATGCTAGGAAAATAACAATTACCCTCCCGACACCCAGGAGGACAGCAGTTGTGCCCTCTAGTGGAGATGACTTCATTGGTTTTAGTCCCGCAGTACTTTTCCATCAAACCCACTGCAGATTGCTGTACAGCCTTTGGTACAGATGACTGCACAGGCTTTCGGAAGTCTCTCTTGTTCAAGAAATGCAGTACTGATATCCAAAAAAGTAAAGACTAACTGCTTTGACGTTTAAAAGCACTTATATTTTATGTACGTACACACACACATATTTGTATAATTCATTTGTGTTTTCGCTGCTAGAAAATATTGTAAGATGTTAGGCAGAAATCTGTTTGCATTGGGCTGCACACAAATGTAATTATCATTTTAGAAACTTGAAGAAGCCGAAAGGAAGAGCCAACACCAGCTCGAGAACTTGGAACGAGAGCAGAGATTTTTGAAGCGGAGACTGGAACAGCTGCAGGGCCCTCAGGAGGTGGAACGAATACGAATGGACAGCATTGGATCCACGATTTCTTCCGATCGTTCTGATTCAGAGCGAGGTAGGCAGCGCACCTCTCTGACGGAGCACGAAGCGTCTCTGTGTCTGGTTCTGAGGAGGTACTCGTCTGCTTTCTTGACACAGCCAGCCGTTCTAGGCTTCATGCAACTACAACATTGCCTAGCAGTGCTTGTGTATTTTTGTTACTTTTCATTTATACTTGGTATTTTGAAATACTTTAAAAGATTTATTTATTTGTTCCAAAGGCAGAGCCACTGGAGAGAGATCTTGCATCCACTGGTTCGGTGCCCCAGTAGCCAGGTCTGGACCAGCCTGAGGAGCCAGGAACTCCATCCTGGTCTGTCACACATGTGGCAGGGTTCCCAGTGACGTAGGCATCTTCAGCTGCCTTCCTAGGCACAAGGGCAGAAAGCTGGATAGGAAGTGGAGTAGATGGGACTTGAACCAGCACTCCAGAGGTGTCGACATCACAAGCGGTAGCTTAACTTACTGTGCCACAATGCAGCCCCTTGATTTTTAAGTTTTCAGAGTTCTCATCTACTCTTCACTCCGTTTCCTTTAGTGCGTGCATAACCATGGCATAATTAGCACAGCTAAGAAATTAACACTGACCTAATACTCATTTTATAGCTGACAATAAATCTTACTCAAATTGTCCTAATTTTTTTTTCATTAATGTCATTGTCTGCTCCAGGATCCTATGCCAGCATCTCACTGGCATTGCCTTAGGTCTTTTTCCTTACCATAACACTTTTGAAGAATAATAGGCAATTAATATATATATGAAATGTTCCTTAATTTGAGTCTTATGGTTTCAGAAAGTTGGATTAAGGGCATGTGATCCATTTTGGGGAAACGGATATCACAGAAGTGATGTGGTAACCTTCTAACTTCGTAGGTGTATCTGAAGCACTACAACTCTTCATTTCTTTTCGTGTCTGTCCTAGAACATTTCTCTTGGGCAGTTAAAGGACAGAAGCAGCTAAAAAAGCAGTGGTCTGAATTTCACTGACCTGTGAGTCTACAGCTCCTGCCACATCAGGCCAGTGATGTGGAAACTAGAATTCATGAAACCCTCAGGATTCTGAAATATTAAGCAAGTGGCATTTGGCTTTAAAACTTAATTTTAGTTTTTGTTTTGACATTTTAAAAAAGATTTATTTTTATTTGAAAGTCAGATTTTTACAGAGAGAAGGAGAGACAAAGATCTTCCACCTACTGTTTTTCCCATGCCACAAGCAGGGAGCTGCATAGGAAGTGGAACAGCTGGGACACAAACCAGTGCCTATATGGGATATCAGCACTTGAAGGCAGAGGGTTAGCCAATTGAGCCAAAAAATTTATACTTACTTTATGAAATATATTTCAATTAAAATAAGCTCCCAGATATCCTTCATGCAGTTAGACGAGCTGCCCACATCCTGGCATTCATTCTTCACCATTCTCACTCTGAACATTTAAATCTGTCCCCGATAAAATAATTTTGTACCTGAATACTTGAAGAAATAGGAGAGATGTCACAAAGTTTATGGAAAATGAAAATGAAGAAACCATGCTGAAGTTTTTTTGTGCAAAGGATAATTTTGTTTTTCTCACCATTTTTAAGTACTTTCAAAACACCATTGTAATATCCCACAAAAATAATAAAATCAGATATATAACACCATCTAATAGCCAGTTTGTTGGTGATCATTTTCCTACAGTTGTCTCAAAAAAGGCTTGTTACCACTGGCAGGTTTACATCAGTACCCAAAGTCCAGAATGCATTAGTTTGCCTTTTTAACTATTTGTTTTATTTATTGTTGGAAAGGAAGATACACAGAGGAGATACAGAGAAAAAAGATCTTCAGTCTGCTGGTTCACTCCCCAAGTGGTGGCAAAGGGCAGAGCTGAGCCAATCTGAAGCCAGGAGCCACAGAGTCCCAAGGCTTTGGGCCATCCTCCACTGGTTTCCCAGGCCACAAACGGGAAGCTGGATGGGAAGTGGAGCAGCCGGGGACTCAAACCGTTCACATGGGATCCTGGCATATGCAAGGCAAGGATTTTTAGCCACTAGGCTGTTGCAGAGGGCCCAATTTGCTCTAATTTTTAAGATAGTTTTTGATCTATGCCAATGCTTATACTTTTCTAACTCCAAATTTCAGAGTGCACATGTTTTTATCATTAGAGTTCTCCCTCCTTTTTTTTCTAAGTACCGCCAGGGAACTTTTTAGTGTGTACCATCCTAATCCGTAGCAAGTCTTTCATTCCCACCGTTACAAAGGATTTGGGTAACATCTCTGGTCTGTCCTGAGCAGTCAGTTGTTCTGTTCTGAGATCCGTGTGCTGTGCTGGATAGGGTAGTTGCTGTTATTTCCCAATAGAGGGGGTTATAGTGAGTAACTGCGAAGTATGGTATGGCCCTGAAAGTTGGTAAGGATAGGAAGCAAATAGTCATGAATAGATTATCTAAATGCTTGTTTGGAGAGCTGCTTGCATTTTTTTTTTAAGCTAATCACTAAAACTTCTGAAGCAACAAGCCCTTTTAAAAAGTGTATTCTTTAATTTCACCCAGCCTTTTTGGCTTCATCAAGAATCCACTTTTTAGGGTTGGCACTGTGGTGCAACAGACTAATCCTCCATCTTCAAATGCCAGCAGTCCCTTTAGGCGCTGGTCCATGTCCTGGCTGCTCCACTTCCCATCCATCTCCCTGCTTATGGCCTGGGAAAGCAGCAGAGCATGGGCCAAATGCCTGGACCCTGCACCTGCGTGGGAGGCCTGGAATAGGCCACTGGCTCTGGATCTGCTGAGCTCTGGCCTTGCAGCCTTTTGAGTGAATCCAATGCTGAAAGATCTGTCTCTTCTTTGTAGATCTACCTTTCAAGTAAAAATAAATAAATCTTAAAAAACAAACAAACAAACAAAAAAACACTTTGTAAGCAGTGTGGGCACATAAAGTCAGTGCCAGATACGACATACAGGCTTTGTGTGAAGGGAATTGAAAAACACTAAGTTTCATCCTAGCTATAATGGGCAGAAAAACTGTTTCTAAGTGCCTTTTGTTTTTAAAATGTGCATTGCTTTTTATATATTAATGATTGTACTATAGTATTTAATAGTTAATACACCTAGTGATAGCTGGATCATAAATTATTTAGGGTTTTCATGTTTGGCATTTAAAACTTAAGTATCACCACCCAAATTCCTTTGTACATCATAATCCATCAGGTCTTATTTCAGGGTGTATTTGATAAAACAAAATTAAATTAACAGATTTCTGTGAATCTACTTTATGATGAAGTGTAGAAGTCTAGATCTGTAAATGGTACCATCAAAGGCTTAGATGGATAAACATTCTACTTTAGCCTGTATTAACTTTGTATGTTTTTTCTCCTCCTGTTAAGGCAACCCTGATTAATAAACAGCACTGAGTAGTTTTTGGTTTGATGCAAAGCAGATGTTAAACCACATGAAATTGGGATCTTTTAATATTAAGCACTAATTCTCAAATAGGCCTAGTGACTTTAGTGGGAGGTCCAGACGGACTGGCGCCAAGGGGTTTTAGTAAACTTGCTGCCTAAATTAAGACCACCATTGTCTCTCAGGCATTCCCCTGTGCAAGCAGTATTCCTGTGTCTTTTCACCTTTAGTCCCTCTGTTCTCCAGAGATCATGGATAGTATACTTTAACTTGTATGCCATTTTCTTCATGTCTTGTTAATTTTTAAAGGTACCCATGTGCTGGATTATTAATGTTGTTTTGTTTGTTTTTGTCCCCCTTGGCAGAGGAGATTGAAGTGGATGTTGAAAGCACAGAGTTCTCCCATGGAGAAGTGGACAATATAAGTACCACCAGCATCAGTGACATTGATGACCACAGCAGCCTGCAGAGTATTGGGAGCGACGAGGGCTACTCCAGTGCCAGTGTCAAACTTTCGTTCACTTCCTAGAACCCAGCATGACGTAACAAGTGCAGGGCAAAATCATCAGTGGGCCAATTCAGTACAATCTCTTCAATTGGGTTCATGATGCAGTCTCCTCTTTAAAACTAAATGAAAGAAAACTATACTTGAATAAAGGGGTCAAAAGACCTGTATTTAAGCAAATACTTAGCAAAAAGTGGGGCACAGCCTCTCCAGCAGAACAAACATTCATATTGGAAAAATGACAGTTTCTAACAGCAACAAACTTGTCTGAAATTTTCTTGATTTGATTTAGTTCATTCAAAAGAGGACACTGGAGATGCCATCCTCTTTTTCTGAATTTGCTCAAACCATGTTGAGTAAACAGAAAGAATGGGATCATGTTCCCATTCTGAGCTTTATGGCCCTAAAAAAAAAAAAAGAAAAAAAAAAAAGAAAAATCAAACCTATAGAAATGAAGACAAGATAATCAGGCATTATTCCTGGATAGCTAAAGCTATTACAACTTAGCCTGGGACAGTTTATCATGAAGCCTGTGGATGATGAATTCATTAGAAAAATTTAAAAAGCTCATTTCATGCTCTACGAAAGGAGAGACGCCCATGAAGCCTTTTGCAAGGGATCATCATGCAGCTCGGCTTTCTGTTGGATTCCATGCTAAGCAAGCTAGCCTTTCCCTGCATCATTAGCACTAGGGCACCCAGCTGCCCACTTGCCAGCCCACCGCCCCTGGGCCACACGGGGGCAGTCCATGCATGGCAGCCTCTGTCACACAGGCCTGTGAGTCACGGACTTGGGGAGCCAGGAGGGAAAAGCTCCACGTGCCTCTGTCTGCATGGGTCAGGAAAGTTGTGCACACATTAGCAGGCCAAGGTCTGAGCCATGGCAGCATTTTTATTTCAGATTTTGATAACTGTTTGTATGTGTTGAAAACCAAAATGACATCTTTTTAAAGCTTGTCCATAGGAAAAAATAGATGTCTTTTATAGTGGAAAAACACATGGGAAAAAAATCATCTATTTTGATGCAGCATTTGATAATGATAAAACACCTCACTCTTTATAGTGCACAAAGTGAATGAGGTCTGGGTTAGGTTAAGAAAAAAAAGTCAATGCTGTTTTTGTTTTCTTTCGAATCATTACTTTTACCATCTTTTAACCATCTGATATCTATAGTAGACACACTATCATAGTTAACATAGTTAAGTTCAGCACTTGTGTCATTTTAATGTTAAGATTTGCTTCCATTTCCCTACAGGCAGTCTCTCTCCCTCCTCACAATCCTGTTGTGCAGGTGCTATTGTTGCTCTTATGAATATTTTCAGAAATGTTATTTTCTTCTAAGTGAAATTTCTAGCCTGCACTTTGATGTCATGTGTTCCCCTGTCTTTTCAAACTCCAAGCGTCTGGCCCTGTCCCCTGGGAAGCCTTCTTGGAGACTGCCCCGGCTGTTTGGACTTTGTATACTTTAAATAATTTAACTGCCCTTAATTACTTAAAAAAAAAAAAGCTTTATGATTTTCATAACTTATTGCTGATTTTAATGGGTTGTTAATTTCAGTCCTATAGTTTTATTTTATGTTTAGATAGGGCTGGGCAAGAAAAAAATAAAATAAAGACAACCGTATTTAGCAGTGCAGTTGTGTGTTAATGTTAAGACTGTCTTTTCTTGAACAGCACTTTCAATGGCATACACAGACTATGCATAAAATGTAGCAGCTTGGACATAAGGCCTCAGCGTATACTCAATTGTTCTTGTGCTCTTCTGTGCCTCCAAAAATATATTTTTCTTGATTATGCTATGTTCTCTGAAGTAGATGTGTATGAAAACCTGCATGCCTTTAGAAGCCCAGTGTTAGAATGTGCTACACTCCAGGTGCTGGGGACTTAAATGAAAAACATGACAAAAATTCATTCTGTGGTCCAGGTAAATTATTTTTGGTTTCATTTATAAATATTCCTAGCCAAGTCAAACTGTTGCTCTATATATTTATATACTTTTTTTGACTTTTGAAAGTGAAGACAGTTTGAAGACTACCAGCTGTCATGGGAAGTAAATGAAAACCAGTGACTAAAGCTTGATTTAGTTTTTCATGTGGCATTCAGTGGTGTCACACTGTATATGGCTGGAATTGAGGACTTCACTCAGGCAAACCTGAGGTGCTGTCACTTTGTTGTATGCTCCTGTGTACAGGATAATGGGCTGGGAAGCCTCTAACAACCCTATAGAAAATTTTCAACTGCCCTTATAATTACTTTCCCTGAGTTTGTTTTCCTTGGGGGAGGAAGGAGGGTAGATTACACAATGTGTGTTAATATTTTAAAAGACAAATTGACTTCTAAGACCAGAAGTTAACTTCAAGAAATCAAGGCTGACTTTTGTTTCCCCCTGAAAAGTTTGAAATATTACCAGTCTTGAAAAACTAATAAGCCAAGCTGATTATCTCCTTCTGCCCCCAAATCCAGGATGTAGATCACAAAGAAATGAAGCTGCATACCTCACTTCCCCAGGAGGTACACAAAAAGGCTCACCTGAAACACTTTTTAAAAAAATTCTAGCAGCACATTTTGTAATTTTTAATTTCCTCAAGCTGTCATTTTTTGTCACTAGAATAGCTTAAAACAGTCTTGATTGGTAGGGTGATAACTAGAATATTTATTTTAGATATTCATACCAGGGCACAATAACAGCATTATAAAAATGTAACAAAAGCCATTAAGTGTCTAAAATGTATGTAAAATATGTAAACTTCAGAGGTCAGTTGTTTGTAAATTAGCTTCATCACACTTACTCTCAAAGTTAGGTCAACTATACCTGGTAGTGCTTTTGGAGAGAAAAACTCCAGGCAAAAGAACTGAAGAGATACTTACTCCTTCCAGCTCCTTGTGAGCAGTGAACAACTGGAGACTTAGCATCTATTAAAGACTAGCCTAGCTGAAGATGTCTGGCTTCAATTCTAGTTCAATTCCCAGGATATGGAGTCAAGTGTTTCCTCCAAGCCTGAATTCTGTTTCTCTGGTCAGAAATTCACTGCATCTTGCTAAAATAAGTACAAGGCATGAAAGGGGGGGAGGGGTGGAGAAAAAGCAGGTAAGTTTTGCAAGAAAGGGAAATCATGAGCCAGCAAAGTAATAACCGTGATTTGGGGCCCCAACTAGACAACGTGGCTCTTCAACCAAGAGCTGTGCTCTTAATAATTTGGGCGAGCATTGTGGTGCAGCAAGTCATGCCGCCAGCCATGATGTTGGCGTCCTTGTAGGGACGTTTGTGTCCCAGCTGCTCCACTTCTGATTTGGCTTCCAACTAAAGCACCTGCAGAGCACTGAATGACAAGTACCTGGGCCCTGCACTTACACAGGAGACTGGAGAAAAGTTCCCAGCTTTGGCCCAGCCTAGTCCTGGCTGTTAGTTGTCATTAGGGGATGAACCAGCCGATGGAAGATCAATTTTCTCTCCCTCCCCTGTCCCATAACTGACCTTCAAATAAATCTTGAATATTAGTTTACAATTCAAGACTTAAGTCTGTACTGGTTTTCTAAAAAATAAGCTGGTAAGGGACACAGCCTAAATATACACCATCAGTGTTTCTTGCTGGGAAATGAATGAAATTCACTGTTTTTAGCTAGCTCAGCAATCGGCTATGTTGTTTTCTGATTTGTCTTATGCCATTCACAGCCACCAAATGAAAAACCTTACAGAAGCATAACACCATCTCTCTTTTACTTTGGCTACGACAAAAATTGTTAGAAGGTTCTATTGGTTAATACTGGTTTCTGAACCTCCTATATTTCTTAATGTACATACATGGTATTAAAAAAAACAATGGGTCATGGGACTCAATTATTTGAGGTTTTCAATTCAAACTATGGTATTACCTGTTATTCTGTCTGCTATGCTCTTCCTCTCCACTGCAGGAAAAATTCTGTTTAACTTGCAACTCAAAAATCCTAGATGTAAAGAACGTTTACATTTACTGTTGAACTTATAAATTGCCACTTATACTAACTGCCCCATAGTATAATACAAATACTTACAGTAATCTGCAGGTACTTACCCCTCTAAACATCTTAACAAACATTTTAACACCCAAGTTAGGGCAAAAAGCCAATCCATGCTTTAAATATTTTGCTGAAATTGCAACTGGCATTTTTGACAGTATAAAAAGGTGTAACATAAATTAATTTTCTTGACACTTGGTGGCTTCCCTTGCTATTTTCAAGGCAGATACATTCACAACATTAAAACTGTAATACTGGAAACGTACACCTCCTTCATTTTTGACAAGCATTTTTTTAAAAAAGATGAATGATAATTAACTGATAAATTTGATGATGGTTTCAGGCTTAGACCTCATTAGCCCAATAAAGCTGCCAATGAAGACCAAATTCCAAATGCAAGAATCTAATTCCTTTTACAGTCCACCCAGAACACAATTCTCACCAAGGATCCATGTCATCACTGTGACGTCTATCAACCAGACATACCTGGAAACACAAAGTCTGGAATAGGAACCAAACCTCCCTCAATTTTTAAACCATATCATAGTAGGAAAACTTAAAACTTTCCTAGAATTTACTCTCGTAACTGATACTTTCGATAGTAGTTCTAATTAGGGACCCCATATCATAAGCAACGAATGCTATGTTGTAATACTAACCACTGCTATTAAAGTTAAGGGAAAAGCACATATTCACTGCTGCCGCTCTGCACAGCAAGACACTTTTACAGAAGATACTCTACTGAACTTCATTCAGTAAATTTTAGGACTCTTCAAACCCAATGAAACAGATATAACTTCCATTCCATAGATAACTGAGGCATGATCATCCACATGGGGTAATAAATGGAGAACCAGTATTAAAATAGTCTTGTTCTGGAGTCCTGGCTCTTTGAACATGCTCTTGAGGCATCTCTACATGTTAAGCAAAACAGTATTTGTTATCTGTGATTTCTATTAAACATTTTGTTTACTAAATTTTGGGGGTGCTAAGATCATTCTCCCCTGAAAAAGCCAAAAAGAAAGTACCAAAAACCGGTATTCTCTCCAAGAACCCCAACTCTTATTTCAGTCTACACACCACAGTCACCCTGGCACTGGGATTTTCCCAAGGGCCATATCTAGTTTCTGACACAAGGACTCCTTATTGAATGCTCTAACGTGGCTACTTTTATTCCTTTTCCCTCTCCCACTGCAAAGTTCCCCAAGGAAAATTAACCAAGGCACAAGTTGTAACAGTACTGCATACGAACATCAAGGAAAATGTTGTTGAATTCAACATAAGGTAATCAACAAAAGCTATTTTCTGGGGTCACATAATTACGCTAAGTTCCCCCCCTCTCAAAAACAGTCCTTCTAAAAATATCATCGACAATTTTTATGTTTTTCTTTTGGAAGACAGCATATTTTCATCTGCTAGTTAATATTCCACTGGCCAGGACTTAAGCTGGAACTCAATATGAGTCTCCCACATGGATGGCAAGAACTCAAGTCACTTTAGTAATCACTGCTGCATTAACTCTGGGGACATGGTGTCCCAACTACTAGATTAAACACCTACTCTCCAGAACTTTTTAATTCAAAGGACTTTCTTAGTCTTTCAAGGATTATTAGCATGCTGAGAAGATATGTGCCATAAGGTTGCTGGCGTAATGATACTGGAATCCCTGGGGTGCTGGATGAAGACCTGGTCATTATGCTTCTAATTCAGCAAATGTTCTTGGGTAGGCAGTAGATGATGGCCCAACTATGGAGAGGTCCTGCCACCCTTGTGAAAGACCAGATGGAGTTCCTGGCTCCTGGCATTGGCCTGGCCCAACCATTTGGGAAGTGAACCACTGGATGAAGTTATCTCTGGAACTATGCTATTCAAATAAAGTTATTTTTTTTAAAAAAAAGTTGCAATAGTAAAAAGATGAATACTAATATGTTTTAGTTGTAAATTTCCACAGCTTAAATAGTCCTTTATCCAAATTATGCCTTTTTGGTCCTACATGGTTAGAGGAAAAAAAGGAAAGAGCATTGAAATGGAATGAAGTGATGCAAGAATACCTCATCAACCACCCTAAAAATTTCAATATATCACCAAAAAAAGAAAAGTAACATTCACAAATGATTACTTTCCCTCTCCACCAATAATTTATAAACATAGACAGCACAAGCCCTGAAAATAAGACTGGTACACCTGTTAGGATACAATTTTCTGTCTACTGGAGGAATGCTTAAGGATTTACTGAAACCTGTCATACACTCAATATTCTTTGCCACAGCAATTCTATGTGCAAGTATAATACTTAACCACGCTCCCAGCATAGGCAGCTAAAGATTCATATGCTGTTAACACACCCTGGAGATTTTAAAAACACTTTATTTAATAAAAGTTAAACATACAAAACTGAAATTAACACACAACCTAAAAATCATCTTCCATTAGTATGAAGACCCTTTTTATGTATATTTGGCTTAAATTCAACTCAGGATTAACTGTAATGTTCACTTACACCAACAAATGCTGGTAACTTGATCTAGTTAATGAAAATTACAAGCTCAGTTACATGAACATAATATACAGGGAAATCATGGTCAGATTAATGCACAAGAAATACACGAAATTTTTAATGATGAGACATTCAGTATTCTTGTTCATTAATTTAGCCTCAGTTTTGTTTTTTTGTTTTTGTTTTTCTTTTTTACAAAAATAGTATCTACACTGTGTACAGGGCTATACATCAGCTTTTTGTTTTCTCATATAAACATTACACATTCAAAACAATGGTACTACCACCAATAAGTGAACATCAATACATTGAAAAAAAGCAGATACACCCCCCCAAAAAAACCAGAAACAAAAACCCTTACAAAAGGTAGCTCCTCATAAATGTTTATCTCATAAAATTCAATCTCTATGAATGAAAATACGGGATCTGTTTTAGAGATGATCTAGTAAGGTTAGAAAACCTTTTATAACATATGAAAGGATCTTATTAGGTTGGTGTTTTGCCTTGATGCTCCGAAGAATTGCCAGGACATATCAAGGTCAAAAGCATATGAAAACTCTAAAATAAAAGTATGTGCCATCAGTTTAGTGGGGGCCTGATACTAAGATCTGAAGTTCATTGAAGTGCCATATTAAGCAGCATCTTTCTACAAAAGTTGCTTTAACATACTTTGAGGGAACTGTGGTAGTAGTAATGAATGGTAAATGAATAGCAATTATCAAATGCAACATCTTCACGTTTCATTCTACTAAAGTCAAACAATAACAATGGTATCTTCTTTAATCATCTAACAAATAATTTACCTTTAGAAAAATATAAGGATAAAAAGGTAAATGTAAAGCCCTGCAGAGATGAAACTCAACAGTTTTTCTGATTATTGAGGCATCAAATGCCTGACATTGTATTTAGAGGTATCTTGATACTGTGTCATGGGTTTATCAGCAATTCCACAAGTTCCTACTCCAACTTTGCCAGTAACACTCTCAGGTGAAGCAAAGATACTCCTCTTTACCTAGGGTAAAGCAAATACAAACATTCCTTGTTAGTTTCAGGAAAAGCAAATTTCAAATTTTATGTAATGTTCCCGGGTTCAACACTTATGGGGAAAGCAAGCACATCATCTATGTTTGTTTAGGGTCAAAAAATGGGCACTGAAATAGTCCCACACTGGAATCCAGGCACTTAAACTTGTAAGTTTATAAAACATCACCACACACTACTAACACTTCTAACAACTGCCTTCAGATGTCCCACTGTTCTTGTTTTGGCAGCAAACATTGTGGCATAGGTTAAACTACAGTGCACAATGCTGGCACCACATGCACGCTGTGGTTTGAGGCCTCGCTGGGCTCCACTTCCAATACCAGCTTTTTTGCGAACATGTCTGGGAAAGCATTAGATGGTCATGTTCTTAAGGCCCCGCCACTCTGGGAGAGCCAGTTATGTTCCAGGCCAACGAGCCCCAGCTGTTGCTGCCATCTGGGGTTTGAAATAGACAATAAAGTTCTCTTTCTGTATAACTCTGTTTTTAAAATACATACTTTTTAAAATTCTAGTTTTATACACTCAAATGCAAAGCTCAGCTCTGGCAATCCATTGTAAAGTTTAAGCAGGCTGAATTAATGCTTACTGTGCACAGTCTGCTGTCATTTTTTTTTTTTAGATTATTTTTATCAGAAAGCAGATTTACAGAGAGAAGGAGGAGAAAAAACAGATCTTCCACCTGTGGTTCACTCCCCAAGAGGCCGGAGCTGAGCCAATTCAAAGCCAGGAGCTTTTTCAGGGTCTCTCACACAGGTAGAGGATCCCAAGGCTTTGGGCCATCCTCTATTGCTTTCCCAAGCCACAAGCAGGGAGCTGGAAGGGAAGTAGAGCAGCAAGTCTCCACAGGATGCTGGCGCTGGCAGGTGAAGGTTTCTGCCAGCCCCTGCTATCATTTTTAAATTGTCAAACCCTCTGGCCTTATAACATCTTTACAGAAAAAAAAAATGCATGCTAGCCATGTCTACTCCTGCAGAGGCTATCTTGACAGGAGTGAAATCATAGGGGAAAGCCAGGTTTATCCTTGCTGCATGAATGCTAGAGTGATTTCCTGCCCAACACCACTAGAACACAGCCTATCAGGGAAACCTGAACTCCTTTTACAGAGAAGGCGCTTCTGATGCCTAGGATAAAGGCGTGCTAAAACAGCAGAGTCCCACCGCAGCCCCGGTCTTCGGTGTAATTCATGACAGAATTCTATCGCTATTCATAAGATTTTTAATTACAGTGACTGAATAATTTCTCAGTAAGCCAAAGGGAAGATTGACAATGACTGAATTCAAGACCTGGTTAATCAGGCTGTTTGAAAATCTACGTTTTCATTTTAAAGTTACTTTTTTTTAATGAAAAACTATACTTTCCAGTGGTCCTGAACAGAATGAGGGATGGTGATCTTAAATTATGCTAATAAAAATCTTTAGTATAAAACAAAACAAAACAAAAAGCTATACTTTCCAAACACACACAGTACAATGGAAATTTACCAACCTGGCCTTTTTTGTTTTTAGAATAGGCTCTGTTGTTGAACTGTTGCCATTTCACCTTCTGGTCCTCTCTCTCCTGCTCAAGCTCTTTTATTCTCTGTGCTTTTTTCAAAGCTTTCTTCTTTTTATATTCACGCTGCTGGGCAATCATTTCTTTTCTGAGTGAAAAAAAAGAGCTAAATGCTAACTTTTAAATAAAACAAAAGCCAATTTCCTTGCAGATTTTAGCAACACATAAAAACAACAGACTTACCACTGTCCTATCGAGGAATAAAACATCAATGCCAACCACTCACTACCAGGTTTTCCTCCCTCACGTAACATCTTTAAAAATATCCAAACATAGTAACATATACACCCTTCAACTATGACTTTTTGATATTTACACAGCTTCTGAAAGTTAGTTTTAAACAAGCTCAGTTTCAACACGAGTGTTTACCTTTATTAATTTCCAAGAAACACCACTAACAAATATGCAATACTTGGAAAATGTGTATGGAGAAGAGATTCAATACACTGGGATTATTTCACTTAAACTGAGAAACAGCATTACAAAGGGGAAGAAAATCATAGCAATGCTGAAAAACGACAGCGAAAGCCAAATTTTCCTCCGGAAAAATCCTAAATAGGACCAGAGCCTAAAACTGTCCTTCTCTGTTAATTCTGATTTCTAATCACAGAAATTTTTAACAGACAAGAAAGATCAAGGCTCTCCTTCACTATACAAACACCAGGAAGCTAAGTATACTTTTTGCACAGAAATCAGCCAAAAGATCAAATAGTTCTACAATCTGATTTTCCTATCAGAGATGCTTATAAAAGTATCATTTTTCTAAGTTGAAATACAGTTATGTAATGACATAAGATTTTAAAAGCTCTCAACAAATCCAAAATAGCAAACCACGGCAGATCCGTAGTCAACCAAAAAATGGTTAACATTGCTGAGTTTAGACCATCACCATCTTACATCGGGGTCATGTAACAGGAGATACCTTCCCACAACTGCTAGCAGTAATTCTAAGGCTTCACTCTGACCACATGACATACTGTCTACTAAAATCATTACCAGTGGTTTGCAAGTGTTTATAATGTGTCTTCCTTCCGAAATCTCTTGTCCAGTCACCCAGCTGGCCGGTCCCTGCTTTTTACCACAGGAGTTGTTACTTCAGTGTTCTCCCTCATTTTTCAAAAAGGAAGTATTAATCCAAAGAGGGAGTGTGCCCCTAAAATGCGAAAGTCAGAATCACTTACTTTGACATGGGTTTGCTGCCACTGTCTTCCTTTGCCTTCCTCCCTTCTTCCACAGGTTTCAGGTTCAACAGCGGCGTCACTTCGGCGTTGCCATAACCAGCAAAGGTGATTGCAGCGGTGCCATTCTCTTCATCTATCTCCTCAATCTCAGCTTCGTAACACCTGTAAAGATATCATGGCTGTAAGCAGGTGAGTAAAGGTTTCGTACTCAGCCCAGACTTACACTGTAGTGATTCAATCAGCACGTTTCTACATTGAAGCTTCTATACTTAAATGGCCCTTCCAGCCATGATAACCAAAGTCTCTGGAGTTAGCCATCTGCTATTTAAAACAAATCCTAATGAAAATACTGTCAGATAAGTTTCTCATATATATATATTACATATCTGTTTTTGATGTGTTTTAATCTGAAAAAAACATTTCTTAGAGGAATGATTTCAGTATGTACACTTCACAGTTACCTGAAATAATCAGGCATTTACATCAAATTAGAAAAGGCTTTTGAAAATATACATTTGTTTTTTTTCACTTTTCTTTCTTATAAGATCCAAGCTACTCTTTTCCTCACACTGAATCTAAAGCTAAAACTAAATTGTAGTCATCACAACCACCCAAGAATCAAAGCTGGCTTTACCAATCACATGTCCTACATCAACAGAGTAGTTCAAACTGAATGAAAACATCTTACCATTGTATTTTATTATTTCATGTTATAGTTAGAAGGTTTTTTCTACACTTACTGTCCATCTTCACTCCAGATTGCCATACATTTGTCTCCTACTTTCCATGAATGAGTGGGCTGAGTAGAAGCAAAACTGTCGGAACTCGTAAGGGTTTCAGAAGGTTGAGTCGACAGAAGATCTTTGGTTAGTTCTATAACTTCCTAAAGAAAGAGCAAAAGCAGCATTCTGATTATAAACACTCTCACATCACGTGGCACTTGTTACTAAGCACTCTCCATATGTATTTTCTGTAGTGTAGAAGCTGAGACATAGTATTGTATACTAGTCCAGTGGAGGAACTATGATTTAAACTCATTTATGTTTAACCTAATCACAAATACTAATGAAAATAGATGAATTTATACCATGCATTAATTCTAAGTGCCCATCTTAATTCAGATCTCTTAAGATGAGAAATCAAATCAGAAACTGAAATAAATTCAAGACTCCTTTTACTTGCATCGTCATGTGTTTCATGCAATCATACTTTTACTGGGTTTTGCTTGGCAATTCTCACTCCCAAAATCACCAAAACAAAGCAGCCTTATTAGTAGCAATGTTATATTTAGACTTTTCTACTAAAATATTGTTCTAAGCATATGTTAAGAAGCCAGCAGTGTTCACATTTATTATAAAACTTATGCATCTAAGTAAACCAATATGGTTTCATGTTAGCCACATTAGCACAGCTTCATTTAAAAGGAAAAAACCAAGTCACGTACACAGAGGCAGGCAATGCATCCTCTCCACGGGGCAAATACTTCCCCTAGCGCAAGCTTACATTTACTGGCTTCGCTCTAAGGTGTTTGGGCAGGGATGACTACAAACTTCAGACACAGTAAGTACAGGCAGACCTGGCCTCCCATTTGCTACACCTATATTCCAATGAAGATCCATGTTATCCTTTATACTATCTACTTTAAGTTCATGATATCTGTTCCCCAATTTTTGTACTAAAATCATCCAATTATGTGTTCAGGAAAAATAATTAGCCAAGTTCAACTCTATCGAATTTGTTCTGGCTGCCACTAACATTTCCTAAGAAATTCAGTAGCCAAGAAAGTCAAATATTACATCTTCCGGCTAGTATTTGGGGATTTAAAGGTCAGTTTTGTGAATAAAATTTTAAAAATCAGATCTGAATTAAAATGTCAGCTGAATATCTCCAGATTTTGACTTGTAAGTAGCCATCCAATTATTTTTTAATCAGACAGTCCTTTGCATTTAAATATAGCAAAGAACTTCCAAAAAAATAGATCATGTAGTCACAAAGACTAAAGCATCCTGTTTTGTCTAGTTAACCAGGTTTAATGTCAGGAATGTAATCTAGTAAGCCTGCCTGAAGAGCCCACACAATCCCCATCATCAGATACTTCCACATCCTCCCAGAGATCATTAATCCTGCACCTGTCTCAAATTTAGGGTTTTCTTAGACCAGGACACTTCCCCACTGTATTTTTATAAGGATATGCAGTTTTCATCAAAGAAAGGCATCTTGAGCAGCTGTGCATGCTACAGAACATTGTACTAATAAAAAGACCTTTAAAAATCTGTATCCAGAGTATCTGCCTGGTGTCATCTATCACAGTTTTATGTATCCCTCCCAATAAACTATGAAGAACCTCAACATTTTTTTTTCTCCACGTTTGCATATGGATCAAGAAACTATTACAGAAACTATTTTATGAATGAGGGGGTTCTTAAAGGTACATACCATTAATTACTTTTCCTCCCCCAAGTCTGAATTCTGAAACTGCTCCTTCCATGACAGATGGGCAGCAGTTACAGTAAGCGGCAACTCCAGGAAGCACAGGTGTTGTGATCTACAGATCAGCAGGTCAAAGGGGTGCACTCAGGCACTCTGCTTCCTGAAGGAAGGCGTTTCGGGGATGTAGAGCCACTGGAATATATGAGACAAGTGACTGGACCCCTGCCTCCTTTAGAACCAGCTTATTCAGCTAAACAGCCTAAGAAATGGACTACTGTTGTGACCACAGACTGCCTGGGGAGTTACTCTGCTAGTTAGCCTGGATTGTAATACTTCTTTTTAAATGAGAAAAAAAAAAGACAGTATGACTTCAGTAGATTAATTTCCTGCCTTCTCAGTAACTTTATTCTACATGAAAGGTAATACATGCAGGACAAACATGGAAACTTTACTGAAAAAAATCGAAGTCACTGGAAAAATGCAGAAAAGGTATTTTCTCATAAATCAAAGGGCAAATGAATAACAAATAAGAACTTAATAGTAAGAATTTAAATCCATAAGTGGAGCAGAAAAAAGAAATGACATGATAGCTTAAAAATATCAAAGTGAGGGAGGTCACACAATTTAGTAAGCAGTCTGACCAGACTTTTCACCAAGGTTAATGGGCAAAATTGGGCCTGGCGCAATAGCCAGGTGGGTAAAATCCTCGCCTAGCATGTGCCAGGATTCCACATGGATGCAGGTTCGTGTCCTAGCTGCTCCACTTCCTTTCCAGCTCCTTGCCTGTGGCCTGGAAGGCAGTCGAGGACAGATCAAAGCCTTGGGACCCTGCAGCTGCATAAGAGACCTGGAAAAAGCGTCTGTCTTCCAATCAGCCAGCTCAGCTCGAGCCCTTGTGTCACTTGGGGAGTGAACCAGTGGCTGGAAGATCTTCCTTCTCTGTGAATCTGACTTTCCAATAAAAATAAATCTTTAAAAAAAAAGGGTGGGGGCGTTTCAATACTAAAACAGAAGCTATAACGGTGTCATTTATCAGCGGAGACAATTACTTGGTGGAAACACATTAACAAAATACTTTCCAGAACATTATCTTGATTTTTAGTTCAAAGTACACCTGTATTTAGTAATCCACATTTTTTTTCTCAATGAAATACCAGGAAAAGAAACTGTACAAAACTGGTCAGGAAGACACTTGTGTTTTATCTGTGATATTATAAATATGCTTTTGTGCCATTACTATTCATCACATATGGCTGTTTAATAAAGGAAAAACTTCAGCTCTCTGAATCACCCTAGCTGAATTTCAAATGTTAAACAGCTTCATATGCTAGTGGGCATGACAAAGAGCAGATACAGAACATTTCCACCATCAAAGAAAAGTTTTTTTTTGGACAGTGCTACTGTAAATGGTTACAGGAAAGAGGGTAATTTATACATACAGGATTCCCAGGTCATGTTAGCTGAACCCTAGGGGAACTCTTTAGGTTCTTTCCTCAATGTCTCCACAATGGTTTCTCATGTCATCAAAAGGCAGTTCTGTCTAGACTCTAGTCAAAGTTTATTCTAGAAATTTTGTAAAAACCTGTTTAAAAATGCTGCTTTAAACACCACTCCCAGTCTCTCCTCCAACTGACCAGGAAGCAACATATAGTATGGCACTCAATATCTTGTTTTCTTCAAAGAAAGAAAGTGCTGCTTTTTGGAAGATGGACAGCTTATACCTCTTTGAAGCAAGAAAATTGTTGCTTAATAGAGCAGAAACATATCCAAGATCAAATGCCCGTGTCACCTCATCTTCAGTGTATACTCACAAAACTTTTGGACCAATTAAATGAACGGGCAGATGGAAAGTAAACCACTAAGTTACTTCTGAGGAACCCGGAGAAGAAATTGCTCCTCAAAACATTTTTTTCTTATTGCCTGGTATCCTGAAATCCACATGTCTGGCTTTTTATATACTGAACATGGCCTGTCCATGTTATTTTGCATGTTCTTAAAAATTAACATCTATTCCCAACTTGACCCTAAATCTAGAATTTGAACTTAAAAATATTCAACTCACCTTAATTATGCTCAGATAAGCTATTTCACAATCCCAAATCTGGACCCCTTTTCAGATAAGTTTGTCTGCAGTCCTAATATTCCTAAAATATTAAGTTTTGATAGACAATGGGTTGATAGCACGGGAAAGGATTCTTTAGATACAGATTCAAATTTTGCACTGAGTCAGTAAAGATCATCCAATCATGACACCTTTATAACTTTTAAAAACTCAGGTGCAGAATTTTAAGGCAAATGCATTAAGACAAAACTGTACAATACAGTATTTACAAAACATATTTGCCATTTTTCTTCAGCTACTCTGCTGAGAACTAGCAGCCATCATGGCTGTCTTGAAAAGCAGGGCTTCTCACTGCTGATCTCTCCTGTGACAGAGATTGCCTTTACATCAACTTCAACAAGCCCCCAGCCACTGCACTGCTGAGACGTTTAAACCTCTAGGCAACATTCACAGAGAAAATTTACCTCAGGTGTATTTGTTTTTTATACAAGGCTTACTTAGCCTTGGGGGAAAAGGTCATACAATTCATTTGCAAATCATCTCGTGTCTTTAATAAAATCTTAGTTACCTTATTCATTGTGTTCTTTGCCAGGTCTTAAAAAACAAAAGCACTTCCACTGTAAAGTTACACAGGGTTCGTTAAGGACACAAAAATGCACTCTGAAAAAGTACACATGCATTTCAAACATTTTTACACCAAAGTAAGCATCTCTCTTCATTCTGTTTTCCACGAACCTTTTGAAATACTCTTCCCTGGAAAGTTTGACACTTTCACAATCAACTCTCTATTCCTATGCTTAATGAAGAAGCACAACGTAACATCCAACAGGAAGTACCTAGACAACGGGATGCTGGACTGACACTGGACCCACAATATCCGGGCACGCAAATAGTAGACGGATGGAATCATGGCTCCTTACGAAGAAGGCTCTACTCAGTGGATGCCTACCGACTAGGAGAGTAACGCTATTTCCTATTACCCACGGTTCTATGTACGTATGCACACACACACACACACACACACACACACACACACACACACCACACACGGGGGGCGGGTATCCCCCTCTGTAGGAAACACTCACAGGTGTCTACCCATTTCTAAGCCCTGAATCATTTGAAAAACACAAATATGCTTTTCAAGCAACTTTAAGAGCAACTATCCACCCATACTTACCTGTAAATCTTTCTTCAGTTTTAGCAAATCTTCGTTTTCTCCATTTCCGGACAATGCAGCTTCAACTTGTTGGAGCTGAGCTTTGTAGCTTGCCAGCTGCTTTGCTAGATCCTCGGACATCTGAAGGGCAGTAAGGAGGGTCAGACCAAGAAACTGAACCAAAACACACAGTGCACAAAACAGTTCGCCCGCCTGCCTGAATGAACCGGTTTTGCTGCCAAGTCTTCGGCATTACTATTGCATCACCAACACACTGAAACTTAACTAGACCACAAGCATCAAGGCAAGGGGTCCTGAAAACGACAACCGGCTGAGAGGATTCCAGGGAAAAACAGAAGCTGGAGGACGCAAACGGAAACTGTCATCTCTCCAGGAGTTCAAGTGTAAGGCTGTCATACCTTTAAAACCGTCTGTTGGGAAAACTCCCAACTTGCAAGAGAATAATAGTTCGGGGCCATTAAAAGGTGCGTCCAAAGCCATATGCAGAGTTCTTCACTAACTCCCCCATCTGAGCCACTCCACAGGGCATAGTAACGAGTTCTTTCCCAGAAACACTATTTTCTCCAACAAAACAGCACAAACCCAGCACTGTTTACATATCCTAAGAAAAACTGACTGTGGCAGAAAACAGCGCAACCAGGATAGCAGCTAACCTTTCCTCGACTGTTTGTAAGTTCACACACTGGGTTTCCCCAGGAGCCCGCCGCCCCGCCGCTCGGCTTCTCCCGATTCCCCCAAACCAGCGTCCACCGAAACGACCAGACGCTCTCGGCGTCCCAAGACGCGCGGGGGGTCCCCACTGCACCCCGGCCCCCCGGGCGGCCCTGGACGAGCGAGGACGCCGCGGCCCGACACACTCCCCGACGGGGCCCGGCCGAGGCCGGCGGGGCCTAACTCCCACACGGGGTGCTACCTTGTCTGGGGTGGGGACGGGGCGGCGGGAAGGGGGCAGATGAGCCCGGGGACGGCGGCGACGGCGACAGGAACAGCAGCAGGAAAGGGGAGAAGACACTCCGCGACGACAACCAGGCGACTCGCTGCGAGAAGGAAGAACTCGGTCGGCGGAGAGGGGGAGGGGAGGAACGCCGGGCGCCGGGAGGAGGAAAAGACAGAGGCGAGCGAAACCTCGCGAGACCTGCCCACTCTCGCGAGAGGTCTTCCTGCGCACGTGACGCCTTTCATCCTCTCTGCGGCCGGCGGGGCTGGCGCAGGGGCTTGTGGGATACGGGGCCAGGCGGAGAGGAAGTGACACGCCCGAGCCGCCCCGGCGCAGGAATTGCGTTTGTCTTACGTCAGTTCCGGCTGGGACGTCGCCTCCTTCGTGAGGGGGCGTTGTAGTCGCCTTGTTTTTGCCGAGGTTCTCGGGGTGGTTACCTCGAGTCTGTCAGTCTTGAACCCGCGGTCTGGGCACCCGGGCGATCGTTGGCCACGCAGACTCTTGAATGCGGAAGCTGCGTGGATGTGGCAGTGGGCTGGAACAAGCAGGAGATGCTGATGTCCCCCCAAGTCGGAAACCGCCTCCTGCCTTTCAAGCAAACAAAAGCGATACTGCATTTGAATTCCTCGGAGAAGACGGAAACAGTTGCTCGCATCGACCTAAGCACTTCACATGTATTCGTTCTTTGTGCAGCAATAATCTTTGACTAAGAGTGTTATTCCGAATAGGTTTTCTGGCATAACATCTCTGCTGAAGACTCAAGATCTACCTTCAGTGTCTTATTTGTCTTCAAACGTTGGCCTTCAGACTTCACGGTAATTCTACCTGAAGTCTTTAAGCTTGTCTTTAAGTCTTTAAGACTCCCAAGTTGTCAGACCATACAGCTGTTTCGACTGCTTGGGTTGCTGCAAACCACGCTGTTGCAGGCATTTGAGGTGTGAACTGGCGGATAGACGATCTCTCTTTGATACCTAAATAAAAATAAAGTACATTATAAACAAAGAAAGGAAAATTCTCCCACCAACGAGAAGACTACCAGCATTCCTTCAGTTTGAGAGATTGTGATCTATTGCCTTACACAGGATCAGAAACGGCAGTCATCCAGAGTTTGTTAGGCAGCAGCAGCATGTAGTAGCACAGATGGAGTGGCCCGAGTCTGGAATGCTTTCAGTCAGAAGTGTTGAGCTTACACAAAATTGTTCTGAGAGCTTTGGAAAAATTTGGATATTTGCAATGAGATGTCTTGCATACACGATGTTTATTTTCTGTAAACACTTTACACAAGTGCACGTTAGAAGGCAATTTAATAGCATGTTTTAGTGTATCCACAGTTTGACTGCAATCGGTCACAGGAAACCAGGAGCACGTTTGCCTTTGTCGTGTTACGTCAGTACTACAGATTTGGGATTTTGGAGCTTTTTGAATTTCAGAGTTTCAGATCTGTATGATCGGCCATGTTCTAACCATACATTCTTAGGAGTATATGTTCTGGAATTAAAAGTACTGAAACAGACAAATGCCCTCAAACAGGTTCACCGCCTAGTAGTATTACAATTTCAAAGCTTATGTCTATATTAAAAATATATTATATACATATGAAAGATGCAAAAGTAGCTGTGAGGAAACCATCAGATGTCAAATTTGAGTTATAAGTTTTCATGTATTTTTTTTTCAAAGCAATGTGACCCTATTTGAGGGTGCCCATATATTGATACCTCAATGCCATTCCTCAGTGAAAGGAAAGGGCATTTCTTAGACAAATCGTTACTTTCAGATCGCAAGCCCAGTAAGTACGAAGTGGAGCTGAAGTCCTTTTCCAGAAAACAAGGAGTTTTCCCCAAACCAATGGGATCAGGTCAAAACCCACAAATATTAGCTTTGAGGCTGAAATGGAATTTTTTCTTTTTTTTTTTTAAGGTTTATTTGTTTTTATTGGACAGTCATATATACAGACAGGAGGAGAGACAGAGAGGAAAATCTTCCATCTGATGATTCACTCCCCAAGCAGCTGCAATGGCAGGAGCTGAGCCATTCCAAAGCCAGGAGCAAGGAGCTTCTCCCAGGTCTGCCACACAACTGCAGGGTCCCAAAGCCTTGGGCCATCCTCGACTGCTTTCCCACTCCATAAGGAGGGAGCTGGATGGGAAGCAGGGCTGTAGGGATTAGAACCAGTGTGCATTTGGGATCCCGGTGCATGCAAGGCAAGGACCTTAATCACTACATTATCGTGCCAGGCCCAGAAATGGAATTTCACTAGCCTAGTTTGAGTCAATTTGGCTGCTACAAAGAGTAATGGGGTGTTTGGTTCAGAAGTTTAGTTGCCACTTGGAATGCCTGCATTCTATATTAAAATGCGTGGCTCAAGCCCTGTCTACTTCACTTCAAACCAGCTTCCTGTTAATGTGCTCTGGCTAGGGCTGGAACAGGCTGTAGGTTGAAGCCTGGAACATTATCTGAGTCTACCACGTACCGGGCAGCTGCCCAAGCATTTGGGCCAGGTTTTGTTACCTTCCCAGGTGCATTAGCAGAGAGCTTAATGGGAAGTAGAGCAGCCAGGACTGGATCAAGTGCTCGGATGGGATGCTGGCTTCCACGTCACAGACTGAGGCTTAAAATTTATGCCACAGCACAACAACCTAAGGTCAATATCTTTGCTTAGAAATGAAGTGTTGGCCCCAGCGCGGTGTCCTACCGGCTAAAGTCCTCACCTTGAACACACCAGGATCCCATATGGGTGCTGGTTCTAATTCCGACAGCTCCACTTTTGATCCAGCTCCCTGCTTATGGCCTGGGAAAGCAAGGCCAGCCCAAAGCCTTGGGACCCTGCACCCTTGTGGGAGACCTGGAGGAAGTTCCTGGCTCCTGGCTTCGGATTGGCACAGTACTAGTCGTTGTGGTCACTTGTGGAGTGAATCATCAGATGGAAGATTTCCTTCTCTGTCTCTTCTCCTCTCTGTATATCTGACTTTCCAATAAAAATAAATCAATCTTTAAAAAGAAAAGAAATGTCAAGGACCTGGTGCAATAGCCTATTGGCTAAAGTGCTCCCTTGCATGCACTGGAATCCCATATGTGCACCAATTCATGTCCCAGCAGCCCTGCTTCCCATCCAGTTTCCTGCTTGTGGCCTGGGAAAGCAGTCAAGGATGAACCAAAACCTTGGAAACCTGCACCTGTGTGGGAGACCCAGAAGAAGCTCCTTGTTCCTGGCTTCGAATAGGCTCAGCTCCTGCCATGGCAGCCATTTGGGGAGTGAATCAGCAGACAGAGGATCATCCTCTCTGTCTCTTCTCTCTGTATACCTGGCTTTCCAATAAAAAAAATAAATAAATCTTAGAAAAAATAGTGCAGTGTCATGATATCTATAGCTTGCGTTCAGGTGATCTGGCTGAAATATGTAAAATTTTGTAAAATTCTTATATATATACACGTTTGTGTGAATATACATAGATACATACAGAGAGAAAAATACAGGAAGTAACAATATGTGTAAACCCAAAGTCTCAGGGCTTGGCGCAATAGCCTAGTGGCTTTGCATATGGGCACTGGTTTGTGTTCCGTCTGCCCCACTTCCTTTCCAGCTCCCTGCTTGTGGCCCGGGGAAGCCGTGGAGGATGGCCCAAAGGCTTAGGATCCTGCATCAGTATGGGAGATCTGAAGGAAGCTCCTGGCTCCTGGCATTGGATCGGCTTTGCTCTGGATCGGCTCAGCTCTGGCCGTTGCAGCCACTTGGTGAATGAATCAGCAGATGGAAGATCTTTCTGTCTCTTGTTCCCCCTGTAAATCTGCCTTTCCAATAAAAATAATAAGTCTCTTTAAAAAATAAAGTCAAGTGTTTCCATTTTTTGATGTGTTTCAAATTTTTCACAATGAAGAGCTGGAGGAACGGATCCACAGAACAGCTTTGGGAGGTAGTGCGCGTGCCCGTGTGCACACACATGCGTGTGAGGATGTGTGTGGAAGAATGGTGGAGCGGAGCAGCAGACTAGGGAACTGGGGGACAGGGGTGGTGGTGGCAGTGGCTTCCCTAGCGGGATGCGTCAAGGCTTAGCAGGAAGGTGTGGCAGCAGAGGCGGAAGCAGTCAGCGGGAGAGCTTTGAGGGCCAGGAAGGAAAGCCTGATTAACATGAAAGAGGTCCTCCAACTTGCACACTTGGAGGAGAGTCCAGTGGGCCTTGCCCTCTGATGTGGTGTTAGAAGCTGCTTTTTATTTTCTCTCTTCATCTTTGGCCCTTGTTTAGCTGTCTTCATCCGATAGCTCCAGCGGTCCCTGTAAGGAGCTCTTAAACCCAGAATTTGCTGGTTTCATCTGCTTCACACCCACCCAAAAGCATCTTTGTTATCCGGGTATTTCCCACTCGCATGTATGTGTGGCCGGCAGCTTCTTTGTCTCCTACAAAGGATAAAACAGTCCATGTCGCTTTTACTACGCAGTGAGTTACCGTCCACTGTGTTTTTGTAGGCGATTGTTGACTACTTAAACCAAGCAAATATCGGAAGAGGGGAGAGAAGTTGTTCAGTTGACTTTGTCCAGAAGCCAAAACGAGTTCTAGAGTTCTACCCAGTGAAGACTAGCAGCCCAAAGCTTGATATTTAGCCATTTTATTGATAAGTCAGACAAAAAAAAAAAAAAAAACCAGTAACTATGCAATGGAGACCGTAATGCTCAATGAGTCCATTAGATGGCAGTAGGGAGCCAGGCACGATGCCTCCTGTCCAAGCCAACCCCCACCTGACACAGTGATAAGGGATCCGGAAGCAACATTACAAAGCATATTGGTAACAAGAGGGGAGGTGGGAAAAAAGAAAGAAAGAAACCTGTGGCTTGCAGTCTCCAACTGTGAAGAACTGCTAGTCATCTGGTTTCAGCTCCTGTTCTGGGCCTAATACCCAAGCTTTGACGCGTCCTTGCTATGACTCTGGAGTAAAATCTATAAATTTTATAAATCATAAGCCCTATAGATTACTTGTGTGGTGTTGACGTTGGTTTTAGAACCTTAGTGGGAAGGGTGATAGCTTTTAGTCGAGACCCAGTGTATTTTTTTTTCTATATTTGCTTTTAGTTTTTTCATATGAGACCTAGTGTATTTAATAGGGGTTTTGACAGCAGGACAGCCTCATCCCCTGTGATTACTGGCCACTAGAGGCGCTGTGGACCTGGTAGGTTTCCTGGGGGGGAAAGGACTCTGATTTCTGTGTAGAGTTGGCTGGAGAGCGCTCTAGGAACATCCATCGTAAGAGGCACGGAGCAGTACACAGCAGAGAGCCGAGGCGAGTTGCTGTATCCTGGGGTCATTGTGGGATGCTGACATTGCAAGTGCTGGCTTAACCCACCACAACGCTGGCCCCAAAACAAATTTTCTCCATATCAGTAAACATTGTACTTGACAATGATTCATATTCTAATAAAGATTTCTTATAGTTGATATTAACGACATTTTTCTAAAACCCAGATATCAATTTCCTCACAGGTTCATAACCATAGTAAGAGTAAAGAGTTAATATTTTAGGCATTTCACAATGGAGAGAACTCCACTGGGATGGAACACACGGGACAGGGCATCTCTGAAGAGCCAACCCAGCCTTAGCGGCTCCGCAGGATTGGCAAAGACCCCTATCCCCACAATCGCGGTGCGTGCTGCCAAGGGTATAAGCGGGGAAAGGAAGGCTATTGCAGCTGTTTGGGAACAATTTAATCAAGTTCTCTCTGGTTTGTTTTTTCAGTGCTGCTGATTAGAGGCCCACATCTGACAACTTCTCCAGAGTGAAAATGAAGCAGAGCCAGTGAACCTGTCCATCAGCGAAAGAACCAACTACACTGAACTGACGCAAGAAAGTGCCGACGCTGTGGAGATAGAGGTGCCCGTCGATTCTGCAGTTTGTAAATCTGTGGAACCAGGGGTTCTGGAAAGGCAGGGCTCCTTCTCATTCTCTCCCTCACTTGCCCCAATGACAATGGCATGTGGTGTGGACTCTGCTTCCAGTTGACTAAAGGGGGACACTCAGGAACTCCACCGCGCTAAGAGCTGTTCCCCATCCCCCAGTGAAGAGAAAGGGAAGGTCATTTGGCCAGAATTTTCTTCCGTGTCACCCTCCCAGCACACACACCTAAAATTTATTCATGTTGATTCATTCGGGAAACATGGAAAGAATCTGACTACCATGGTTGGCACATGCCCACCAAAATGCAGGTAGAAATGTCATCTTACTGTGAGGCATAAGGAGGTGGGACTTTGAAAAGGCAACTACTGCATGGGAGACCCAGATGATGCTCGCACCTCCCGACTTCGGTCCAGTCTGTTTGCTGGTCGCTGCGGCCATCCATGGACCACTGGATGGAAGAGCTCGCTCCAGGGACATCGTCTTTCTGTGTATCTTCTGTCTCTATGTATCTCATTGATTTTTTTTTTTTTAATTTTAAAAGGCGGTCAGGTTAGAAGGACCAGCCCTCATGAATAGAGCAATGGATTCACACGTGGTCCGACTCTCTTGAGAGCAGGTTTATAATAAAACCAGCTTAGCTCACTTTTTTGTGCCCTCCTCCCTCACCATGGGTTGCCCCTGCAGGGCCCCCCAACAACAGGAGAACTCTCACCACGTGTGCACTGCCCAGGAGCTGAACAAAATTTTATTCTTCATTAATAATCCAGTCCGTGGGATTCAGTTAAAGCAGCAGAAAACAAACTAAGACAAAGATTATGTTAAAATTTCACGTTTGTCTATAAGCGAAAGCATCAGGAAAAGAACATGCAGACCACCGGATGGTATCTGTCGGAGCTGGAGTTGTGGCCTAGCGGGTAAAGCCACTACCTGTGACACCAGCATCCCAAATGGGCACTGATGTGTGTCCCGGCTGCTCCACTTCCGATCCAGCTCCCTGCTAATGCACCGGGGAAAGTAGAAGAGGACGACCTAAGTACTTAGACCGCTGTACCCACAGAAGAGACCTGAAAAAAAGCTCTTGGTTCCTGGCTTTATCCTGACCCCACCCTGGCCCCACCCTACCTTAACCATTGTGGCATTGGGGAGTGAATCAATGGGTGAAATCTCTCTCTCTCCTTCTCTGTCTTTCAAATAAAGAAGTCTCTCATAAAATTTAAAACTTCAAAAGAGCTGATAGATATCTGCAAAAGAATTAGTAACCAGAATCTGTGATTCATTACGAAAACAGAGAAATGACCTCATGAAATTAGCAAGAGGATATAAGTACAGCCGATCTACTAAAGATTTTTCAAGTGGCTGATAAACATAAAAAATATTCTAACTTACAAATAATCAAAAACCAAAACCCTTCAAACGGGAAAATGTAAGAGTCTAAAAACAAAAACCACCCTGGAAATAGTAACAGACACTTGTGGGAACATATTGTCACACCCGCAATGTAGAGCAACTTGACCTTTTTGAGAAAAGGTGAAGGTGGGCCCTCGGGGCCGCTGGTCTGCTCTTGGAGAAGCTCTTGTGTCTGTGAGAAGGAGGCACTTCCAACCTATTCCAGCCTCCGTGTGAACAACAGCCCTCCGCAGAACACAGGGCGAGAGGGCTGAGCTCATGGAGCATGCGATGAATCTTCACAAAATGAGTGAATGGAGGCATGTGGCGCCACCTGCTAGACCTCAAAAAGAGCAAACAACAAAACAAAGCAGCAGCACTGGGCTCACTGTGTGGGATGCTCATGTGCCATGTGAGGGTGCCTCGGTGCAAGTCCCAGCTCTGCTTGCTGCCAAGTGCCACCCTGTGAGGCACCAGACAACAGCTCCAGCGTTTGGGTCCCTGGCCCCTAGGTGGGGGACCCAGCTTGAGATGTGGGCTCCTGCTTCAGATGGGTCCAGCCCTCCACGGTTGCAGGCACTTGGGAAGTGAACCAGAATATGGAAGCGCTCTCTCTCTCTCTCTCTCTCTCTCTCTCACCACTTTGCAAATAAAGTGAAAAGAAAAAGAAAATTGCAGAGTAATGTGTATGGTGGGAGACAATTCATACAAAATCTAAGATCATGTAAAACTACATTGCTTATGGAAACACTCCTGCAGTAAAGGTATAAGGCCATGCCTGGGAATGAAAACAAAACGCCAGGGAAAGTGTCTTCCTCTGGGCCCACATGGTCCCCGGTGACAGTTATGACTTGAACAGAATGGGCCCCTTCCGCTGGGGCCCTGCATGCAGCCTACACCCAGTAAGACCTTGTTTCGTGGCCCTGACTACAGCAAACACACCATCTTCCCTTCATTCCCACGGTGAGGTCTCCTTTCTGCTCAGGGCACACCTCTCCTCCACTCCCGCTCTGGTTATCTTCTGGCCCCTGCAGCTTCCGCTCTGCTTCTCTTTGCTCACTCTAGCCCAGCCTTTGGCTCTGCCTCTCTGCTTCCCGCCCCTCTGGTCTCCTCTTCCAATGCATCCCTGAAACACCAGTCATGCACCAAGTCCCGAGGCCCTCTTAACTCTGCAGGTCTCACCTCCCTTGACCTTTGCAGTATTTGACATCTTCCTTGACAAATTCCCCTTGTGGCTTCTGTGACATTCATTCCTGGATGTTCGTGCTTGGGCTGCTGGGACCTTTGTTTGCTAGGCTCTCGTTCCACCACAAGCTCGGTGAGTGTCAGTCTTTCTTCCTCATTTTTTTTTCCTTCTTACTCTCTCCAGTATTCATTGAACAAACACTTCTTAAATATCTACCCCATGCTTGGCTCCTTTCTCAGTGCTGGGACGATAGCAGGAAGAAGTCCATCCTCCTAGGCCTTACAAGCTGGTGTGGCGGGGAGAGAGGACCACATATGAAACTAGATCTCTGATAACTGCTTCATGATAAGACAGAAAGGGGTGAGGACAGAGATAGGTGGTGCGAATGGAGGAGCTGGGCTCTGTTTGTGTTATAGCAAATGGTCCGCAAAGTCTCCCTGAAAAACTGATTTGGGGACTAGGCCCTCCAGGGAGTAAGGCTTGTGAACCAACTGAGTGTCTCAGGGAAGATGGGGGTCCATGCAGAGGGAGCGGCAAGTGCGAGGACTCCGAGGTAGAAGTGCCGCAGCTGGGAAGAGGTTGAGTTTAAGATGTCTATTCTAGAACACTCAAAGGGTATGTGGGGGTTATCAGAGACCTACTTTCGTGTGTGGCAAAGAGCAGAATCTGAGTTAGCGAATGCCTGAGTGCAACAGTCAGGACCAATCACTCATACGGAACCTCACCATTTCTTAGCCACTGTTCTCCGATGATGATAAACTTTTCCCAAGTTAGTATGTACAGATGAGAGAATCAGAAAACAACCAGCCACACAGGCCCAAAGGGAAGAACGGCTGGCAGTGAGAGCACCAGGCTTTTTTCCTCACTGAGGGTCTGCGTACCAGGGACCGGCAAGAAGCCTGAATGAGCAGAGTACTTCCTCAGTGAAACTACCCTATGCAATGAACTACACGCGACAGATTATCCTCCCCTGCATTCTCTGTCTCTTTTAAAAAATTTTATTTATTTTTATTGCAAAATCAGATATACAGAGGGGAGGAGAGACAGAGAGGGAGATTGTCTGTCTGCTGATTCACTCTCCAAGGAGACGCAATGCTCGGAGTTGAGCCCATCTGAAGTCAGGAGCCAGGAACCTCCTCCGAATCTCCTGTGCAGGGTCCTAAGGCTTTGGGCCATCCTCCACTGCTTTCCCAGGCTACAAACAGGAAACTGGATGGGAAGCAGAGCCTCTGGGAGATGAACTGGCACCTATATGGTATCCCAGCACATGTAAGGCTAGGGCTTTAGCCACTAGGCTATCAGGCTGGGGATGCACGGTCATTTTTTTGTGGAATAGCACTAAGGCCTACCATTCACTTCCTAGGGCCCCTTCTCTGGTTCCAAACAGCTTACTTGTCCAAATACTTCCTTTGGTTTGTATTCTTTTTCAGCCTTTTGTCATTTTGATCAATTTCAGGGCCACTCTGAAGAGAAGGTTATATAGAAAGCAACTGTCACTTAAGTTAGAGATCTGCTCTAATTGGAACGGTGGGACGCACAGAAAAGTCTGACTCCCCTGGCCAAACGGGTGGGAGCCATCCTTCACTCCATCACGGCCACTCATCTGCTGCCCTCCTAATGCTCCTGCTCTGGCGGCTGCTTCCTCTTTTGGCTCCCGAAGCTGGCTGAGCACAGAGCCAGGCACCGGGTGAACCAGCTCACCCTGACCCTGACCTCGCTGGCGTCTGCAGGTTCCTCTCCTCTGTGGCCTGGCAGGTGTCTTTTCATCTTCCCCTCAGTCCTTCTGGACTGTGATCATTGTCTTATTCAGGTTACATCGGCACGCCTGCTTGAAAGATATGCATGTACCATGTTTGTTTCCATGGCTGAAGCTAATTTCCACGCCAGCACTTTCTGGATATACCTTTCGACTAGAATGCACTGCTCAGCTACCCTGGGCAAGGCTCTGAAAGCTTAGGAAACATACTTTTCCTTCTGAGCATCTGCTCTGAATCACACACTGGGGTCAGCTCACCTTCTAGCTCCCAGATATTCTTTGAGTATGAGGGAGACCCCTTCTGAGTTCACTAACAAGCAGTTTAGAAGCAGCTCCAAGAAAGACAAAGAGGGAGAACAAGTTCGTCAAGGAGGGTGAGTGATGTTGCAGGTCACAGAATTCATGCCTGTCTACATATTTCTAAGCATGTGGTGCATGCATGCATGCAAGCCAGTGGCTGACGTTGATGTCAGCCTGGCTGAGTGAGCCCATGCTGGATGACTCACCCGCTGGGCTGTCAGCGAACAATGGAGCTTCTGCAGGTTAGTTAACAAACTTACTCAAGGAAACTCTATTCTGAGTTCTGTCACTAATTGGATCTCTGAAGGTAATCCAATTGCCAGCCTATTTACGAACTTCCTCCATGGTCTCTAGGTTCTTTCCAACCTTCCTCCTAACCTCCTTCGCAGCCTGGCAGAATTTGATTGGGTTTATCTTTGTTTGCTTTGAGGAGGAATTGAAATGCGTCCTTCTCTAAGCAGATGCGTGTGTCTCCTTTGCACAGGCTGGGTAGAGCACAGAGGTGATCTCATGGGGTTTTTCCACCCACTGGATCTGACTTGGGAAAGACAAATACATGAAAGCCCCAGTGTCACCTCTTAAAATCCCCTTGGTGCTCAAAGAGGAAGCCTGGCGAGTGGTTTCAGCCCAGTATCAGAAATATCAGGTGATGCTGATTCACCAAATTCTGGAAACAAACCTCAGTTTCCCCAGTCTTGGGTTCAAGATGAGAAAACTTCCCTTTCCCATGGCTCAAAGCAGAGACCAGTCTGTCCTCTGACAAGCATGACACATGAGTTTGATGAATGTCTCCTCACCCCACCCCCAGTCCAAAGGCTCGTGCTGTGCCCATCTGGCTCCATTGTTCCCTGTGGTCCTCCATTCAGGTCTTTCTCATCTTTGAAGATCCTGTTCTCCCCAGCATCCTGCCCTGAGTGCCTCTGCAGGTGGATCTGCATTTCTCCATGGATATCTATGATAGATCTGCAGGGCAGGCAGTGTGCTGAATTCTAGCTTGTGCACCTGTGAGGTGGCTCTCACAGCCTCTATTGCACAGCATGTCGAAGCCACCCAGGAACAATGAGCAATTACACATGCCTAGACACACCTGGGCATTCTCAATCAGCCACTCGAGCAGAACCATTGTGCTTGCATCATTGGAAGGATGCTATATGCTTACAGATGACACTGTTGCAAAACAAAACAAAACAAAGCACTTTTTTTTTTTCATGGCAAACACTGGTTCCAGTTTGTAAAGCACGCTATGGCTGCCCCTACCACCACCCAAGCACCCTGGCTCCTGCCTCCCTTCCTTAATAATTCTGTTCAGAGGGTTGTCACTTCTCTACCCAGCCCCTGTGCTTCAAGGGAAGCTGACACTACCCTCAGTGTTGCATGAAGGTCTGATTCCAAGATTCTAGGATTCAGGGGTAGGCGTGTGGTCCAGTACTGCCCACGGAGATGCAAAAGGGAGGGGGCTACTGGGCTTCCATGAAGAGCCTCCCTCCTCCTTGTGGGAGCTTCTTGCTCCCTCCTGCCATTGCCCCAGTTGTTACTGCAGTCTGTGATTCTTCTCCCTCCCTCTCCTTTCTCCAAGAGACACATCACAGCAGGCTGTCATGAGAAGCCCTGGGCAATGCTCAGCCAGTCAAGGAGCTCTCCGGACTGGACGTGAAACAGCAGCAACCGGATGGCCTGCTACTCAATATCTAAAATGATGGGTTGTATATGGGCTCGAGTCCCAGCTGCTCCAGTTCCGATCCAGCTCTCTCCTCGTGCACTTGGGAAAGCAGAAGCTGGTCCAAGTACTTGAGTCCTCTGTCACTTACATGGGAGACCCGGATCAAGTTACAAGGATGGGCCTGGCCCAATCTTAGCTGTTGTCGCTATCTGGAGAATAAATCAGCAGATCGAAGAGCTCTCTGTCTCTTCTTTCTCTGCAACCCTTTCAAAGAAACAAATGTTTAAATAACAGATTCTTCTAGAACTGGTGAAAGTTTCAACAATACATTTTAGTTCTCTTGGGGAAAAAAATATAATTAGCATAAGCTCTTTTTTCTTTTGTTCAAATTGAGTCTCTTCCTCTGGGGACAGACAGCATCATAATTTTCTCTGGAAGACCCTCCCTCCCATGCATTCAAACCAGGTGCTTTCAGTAATGACGCTGTCAGCCATGTTCTGGAATCTAGAGGCAGATACATGGATGAATGCATTTATTTGTGTATCCCATTCCCCTAGACATGATTGATTTAGGAATGGGGACATGACTCAGGTTGGTCCAAGGGACATCCATTCTGAGATTTTTGACAAACAGCTTTCTGTTGAGGTTACCATATATGAAAGAAGCCCAGGGCTTACAGGGGCTGTAGTGTGAAGAAAACCAACTCAGCAAAGCAGAACTGGCAGTGGGACAGATCAAAAGACCATTCTGGCAATATTGCTGGAGTCCCTGGAGTCTGCAGCACCTGCTCCTTTTTCTTCTTCTTTTTTTTCCTGTTGCTGCTGCTTTAGACATCTCAACTGGGCTCCCATGGCTGGCAATGTGGTATCCTGCAAAGGCAAAAAGTGGAAAACGTTGTGGGAAATAACGGCTTTCTCTTCTCAGAGTTGAAGAGATCCAGTCAACGTAGCCTTACACAGTGTCTCCTGTCGCCAGAAGCACTGAGGGCACAGCCACAACCAGAGGCCCTGGCCTTTGTGTGTCTTCCATCCCAGCGGGAAGAGCCAGTTATGAAGCGAATCAGCAACAAACACATAAGGAGAACACACAAGTTGCTGCCCTCTCAGAACAGGACTGGGCTCTGGGGAGGTGACGTTTGCGTCGAGATTACAATGACATGGCAGGAAGAGGCAGCTGCCCCAGGAGTCAGGAAATCACCCGCAGCAGACAAGTGGAAAGGCTCTGAGACAGCAGGGACACTGGCCTGCTCTGTTAAACACACAGAAAGCGTGTCAGCCGTGTGACGCCAGAAAGGGACGCGAGCCAGTCAGCTGGTCCGTCCCCTCCAACTGCGAGACTTTGACTTTTATTCTGAAGGCAGTGCCCTCACTGTGGGATTGGAGACTTGGTTTACCTTTGAAACCATTAGCCCAGTGGTTGTGGGAAGGTTGAAGTGAAACAAAGCAAGAAGCAGACATGAGAGACCACGTGTGAGATGGAGCAGCAATCTAGGTGGGCGGCGACTGGAGGGTCTGGCAGCCGGGCTGAAGCGGTAGAGGTGGAAGCAAAGATGCTGCACTGGGGATGTGGGGTGCCAACGGGAGACCCCGAGACCCCGTGGGTGAGCAGCGAGGTGTGAGGAGAAGGATGTCAGGCTCAAGGACTAAGCTGTAGGCTGAGTCGCCGGTGGTGGTGCCGGTTACCAGAGAGCCCTACTGGGATAGGGAGGAATCTGCTAGTGTTCCAGCAGTGCCAGCCAGCTGGGTCGAGATGTCAGAAAGGCAGCAAGGCAGAGCAGGCCCGGAGTTGGAAGGAGATGTTTCAACTGGAGGCACTTGCGAGTGACAAAGAGCTGGACTGGAAGAGGTCATCTAGCTAGTAAAGTGAGAAGAGATGGCCAAGCCAGAGCCCCGGGATGCAGCATGCCAAGAGTGCGTATGGATATGCGCTGAGCCTTAGCTAGGATAGAAACACTTTCATGGAGCCTTCAAGGAAAACAGTTATTTAATGAGTTATTTATTTAGTTTATTTAAAAGGCAGAGAGAAATGAAGAATTTTTGTGGTTTTTTTTTTTTTTTTCCCCAACAATGGCCATGACAAGCCGGGGCTTGGCCAGGCTGAACTCAGGAACCGGAAGCTCCAGCCAGGTCTCCCATGTGGGCGGCAGGAACTCAGGTACTCACACCATCAGCTACAGATTCCGGGGCGCAGTGGCAGGAAGCTGGATCAAAGCTTCTCCTACGGCACTGTCACTCGGGGTGTGGGTAATCCACGTAGCCACTTAACATACTGCATGACCACACCCCACCCCCCATTTTTATAAAGATGACTAAGAAATCAGAAGGCCTGGGTTTCCCTTGCAGCCCTGGAAGGTGGATAGCTGTGTGATCCTCAGCAAATGACTTAAGCTCTCTGGACCTCAGGCACGCCAGAAGATGCTAAGAGTCCCCGTGGCTCCGTGGGAAGTGGGACTGAAGGAAGCAAGGTGGAAGGTGGAGGTGCTCCACGGACAGGTGCTCCCATTTGTAGGCATGCACCTGCACTGACCTTGGCCAAGGAGCAGCCGGGCCTCTTGCTTGCCTTCCCACCTCCCCCTTTCAGAAACTATCAGTTGCAGCTGACATTTGTTGTGGCGTTTCCGCGGTACCACCAATCACCCCCAGGCAGCTGAGAGGTTAGCGCAAATGGAAAGCTGCTGGTAATTAGGTGGCTGGATATACAGGCATTATTGCTATTTTTAAAAAATCAATTAGCTGTACAAGAAAATGCCACTGAGACAAACATTTATTTCTCTCCCTAGCATGATTCCAGCTGGGTAGGAGGACAATGCGGTCAGTCTAGAGGGGAAAATAGCTTGCTGATATATTGGGACTTAATCCAGTTCTTAAAAACGGAATAGAAGGAGACAGAAGCCTTTTTTTTTTTTTTTAAGTTTCTGTAAGGGAGAGAGAGGCATCACAATAATTGCCTGTGATTTGTACCCTTGCCACCTTATTAATAAGCCTCTCACTCTAGTAATGACTGCACCCTCATTTCCTCTTCAGAGGAGGTGACAAGACGTGCTTCTAGGAAGTCTGGTTACAGCTCCTTTAGTCCCCCCTTGGGGACAAGGGGTGGAGTGGTGTAAAAAGCTAAATGAAGGATACAGCCAAATTGCTTTATTCCTGTTCTTTTCTTGCTCTTTGTCCAAATAACTGCACTGAAGCAAGCAGATATTCTGAGACGGTTGTGTTTTTTTTTTCTTCTTCTTCTTTTTAAAGATTTATTTATTTTTGTTAGGCAGATTTACAAGGAGAAGGAAAGGTAGAAAAATTTTCCATCTGCTGGTTCACTCCCTGCAGACTGCAATATATGACTGCAATATTCAGAGCTGGGTTGATCTGAAGTCAGGAGCCTGGAGCTTCTTCCGAGTCTCCCATGCTAGTGCAGGGTCCCAAGGCTTTGGGCCATCCTGGGGCTGCTTTCCCAGGCCACAAGCAGGGAGCTGGATGGGAAGTAGTGCTTACAAATGAAGGATTAGCCTGCTCAGCCACTATGTCGGCCCCAAGGCTATTTACTGACAGCCATCTTTCCTGGTCTACTTGGGCTTGTGTCTTGTACAAATTTCCAAATCCTGGTCAAGGGACTG